AGTATTTCCTTAACGTGGTAAATGTTTGTGTCAAATAAAAAGCCAATATTGTGTTGAACTGCGTAAAATGAGATGGTTTCCATTTAAGCCAAGAATAAGATAGGGATATCCATAATTCCCACTGTTAATCAACAGTGTTCAAAACATATCAGTTAAATGTAATAGACAAGACAAATCAGAGGTATGAAAACAGGAAAGGAGAAGGCAACTGATTGTTACTTATAGGTGGTATGACTTTATGCCCCCAAATCCCATGAAATGAACCGAAAAAATTATGAGAAACAATAAGATAACTCAGTAAAGTAACTGGTTATAAAATTAATATTCAAGAATAAAACTCCAGGGGAATAGAAGATACCTAACAAATAAACAAAGGGCATATTTATGTTGGCATTTATTTTTTATTTGTCTCTCTCTATTGGAATGTCAAATCCATGAGGACAAAGAAGTAGTTGGATTTGTTTATGGCTTTATCTCCAGTGCCAAAAAATGCTTAGTATATAGTAGGCACTCAAGAAATATTTCTTGAAAGAATGAATCGACACTATGTATCTATACCTTTTGTGCAGAGATAGATGTGCAAAGATACATCTTTTTTTTACAATAGAAAAATAATGAAAGCAAACAAAATATCCATTACTGGGTATCTAATTAAATAAGTTATTAAAAATAATGAGGTATAGGTATAGTTTTGAACTAATATACAAAGCCCTCCAAGATAAATCAAGTTAAAAGAAGCAAGGCACTAGGCCATAAGACAGGTCTCGACACATTTAAAAGGACTGAAATCATACAAAACATGTTCTCCTCCATAAAGAAATTATTAGAAATCAACAGAGAAGAATTGGGAAATCCCAAATGTTTGAAAAATAACACATTTCTTAGTAATCTGTGGGTCAAAGAAGAAATCACAAGGGAAATAAGAAAGTATTTCAAACTGAATAAAAAAGAAAATACAACATATCAAAACTCTTGGAATTCAGCTAAAGAAGAACTTACAGTAAAGTTTATAGCTTTAAATGCTTTAATTAGAAAGAAAGAACTAGAATCATTAATATAAGCCTCCACTTTAAGAAGACAGAAAAGGTAAAGTAAAACAAACACAAAGCAAGTAGAAGAGAAGAAATTATAAAGATCAGTGTGGAAAACATGAAACAGAAATCAGAAAATCAATTAATCCAAAAGTTGATTCTTAAAAAAGAATTTTATAAAATTTTGTTAAAAACTTTATGCTAACGAATTTGACAACTTAGATAATTGCAAAAAATTCCTAGAAATACATAAATTACCAACACCAACTCAAGAAGAAATAAAAAGTTGGAATAGACTTAAATCAGGAAAAGAAATTTAATTAGTAACTAAAAATATTTCTACAGATCTTTCTACAGATAAACGCCCAGCCCAGATGGCTTCACTGGTGAATTTCTGTCATACTTTTACGGAAAAAATCATATCAGCCCCATACAAGCTCTTTCAGAAAGCAGAGGGAGAGGGCACACTTTCCAACACACTTATGAGGCCAGTATTATCCTGACACAAAAGCCAGACAAAGACATCTCATGAAAAGAAAACTACAGAAAATCTCCACCCAAACAGGTTCAAAAATTCTTAACATATAAGCCAATAGAATCCGCCAACATACAAAAAAGATAAACTGGACTTCATCACAATTTAAAACTTTTCTGCTTCAAAAGGCATCATAAAGAAAACAAAAAGATAAGCCATAGACTAGGAGAAAATATTTGCCAATTATATCTTATAGAGGACCTGTACTCAGAAGATATAGAGAACTTTTATAACTTAACAAGAAGACAAGCAGCCCAATAAATATACGAGAGGGAAAAATATTGAGTAGGCATGTCACCAAAGAAGATATATGAATGCTAATAAACACATTAAAAGATTAGAGAAATGTAAATTAAAACCACGAAGTATGAGTATATACTCATTAGCATAGCCATAATAAACAAGACTGATGATACCAAGTGTAGGCAACAACGAGGAGAAACTGGAAACCTCATACATTGCCAGTGGGAATGTAAAATAGTAGAGCCATTTTGGAAAACATTCTGGCAATTTCTTCACAATTTAAACACATACTTGTCATATAACCCAGCAGTACCACTGCCAGGTGTCTACCCAAGAAAACTGAAAACATAGGCGCACGCAAACACTTGTATCCAAATGTTCATAGCAACGTTATTCATAAATGCCAAAAACCGAAAACAGCTCATATGTCCCTCCACTGGTGAAGGGATTAAAAAAAAAGTAGTCTATCCATATAATGGAATATTACTCAGCAATAAAAAGAAGCAAACCAATCATTCCTGAACCAACATAGGGTAGATTTCAGCAGCATCATGCTAAGTAAGAGACTGCACACTGAATGATTCCATTTATTAAACAATTTCTAGAAAGGCAAAGCTATTCAGAAAGCGTACTGGTGATCGTCTGGGGCGAAAAGAACTGGGGATGATGGATGTTCTAAGGATTATGGTGAGTGTTACACACCTACATCATTTTAGCAAAATGACTGAAGTATATACCTACAATTAGTGAATTTTACGGTATGTAAATTATACCACATTGGGGTGTATTAAAAAATGAAATTCACCCTAATAACCCAGATATTTAGAGCAAGACATATGTATGTATATCATTCCATTTATATCAAACATACTACATATATTCATGTATGTGCTAGTTAAGACTACAGAATTTCTGAAAGCATGTATATAGAAAACGTTTGCCTCTGGGAAAAGGACTGAAAATCAAGGACAGGAAAGAGAATTACTTCTCTCTGTATACTTTCTGACACCATTTGCTTAAAAAAGTTAAACCATGTACATTATTATTTTATAAATAAAAAAATCCTTGTAAATAATTAAAAACAAACAACCAACCACAATCCTGTTACAAGGACCCAGGCCTGTGTTAATGCCTCTTCATTTCAGAGGGAGGAGTGCAAATTGTGGAAATTTGAGGAAACACAAGAGGCTTTTGTCTAGAAGTACTTTAAGCATCACGGTGTGCTACATGCTGCAATTCCACACTAGCCACAAAATATAAACAAATTCCTCATCCCCAAACACAAAGAAAATGCAAACAAAACTGAATACTTGAGGATTAAATGGGGTGGGGGAGTTGGGGGTAAAAACGAGGAAGAATAGGGTAGTCTGGCTGATAGCAGGCACACAATAAATGTTTTTAGAAAAGGTACAAATTGCAATAATACAAATAAATACATATTATATAATGTGTGATATGTATTATAAAATAAAACCATAAAATATATATACATAAATAAAACAAATAAACAATTTCAAAATACTTTTTAGTGCTTTGCCATGTCTCTAAAAAAAAGCCATTATATATAAAATGTGTCCAAACTTGTTTCTATGAGTCATACAGTGCATACTGCACACTAATTTTCAGGCACACCTTTTAATATCAAGAACCTGTTACAAAGATTTGATTTTCAATTGCACATTATAAAGATGTGACTATTTGATTGAGCATATTTGTTTTAATCTTAAACAAGCAGTGGGAGAAATTAAAGTATACTGTCAATATTTAATTATCAAGACTCAAGTGCTATTTTCAAGTGCCTTAAGAAGGTTAAATTTAAGCCTTTTGCTATCATATTAATTTCTCTTTTTAATAGAGGAACATAATACTTTGTATAGTGTTGCTCACAAATGCCTAGAATTTGGTGTCCATTTTCATACAAAAATCGACAATATAAATACTTCCTGGAAGGGGAAACACCTGCCGAGAGGGCCAAACAAATCATGAAAGCTGTTTCTTCCAGCTTTGACTGCTTTCATTTGCATTTCAGACTGACAGGGCCTCCGTGCTGCGTGCAGTGCTCTGAACAGGCCGTCACACATGTTTGCCACACACGTGCTCTTCACGCACGAGTTCCTCACAGCACTGCTCCTCCTGACCCAGCCCTGCTGTAGCTTTGGTGCTAACTGAGACTCAACAGACGTTTAATGAGCACCTGTTCTGGGCCATTCAATACAAAGAACACCACCGTCAGGTTATGTAGTAGTATCCCAATAAAACAAAGGAGCCATCTGAGGCTCATGGACTTTCAGTGTCCGGAGTCCGCAAATTGGTGGGTGGAAGACCAGGGCATAGCCTGAGCCCTTGCCTTTATACAGCGTTTTCAAGTACCTCTCTATTGGTGGCCCCTCCTGCCTTTCTCTCCCTAGTTTCATTGATAGTCAGGAGCAAAGTAGCAGAGAAGTGCAGCAGAGAAGGTAGAAGGGAAGAAACACCCAGGGCTCAGGCTCTTACCACGTGCCTTACTGCTTCTGTTTCCACCCTTCCTGTAGAACATCCAGCCCAGAACTTTAGCCCTGACCCTGTTCTGTAACTCGCGTCCCATGTCACGGAAGGCACTATGGGTAGTGTTACTGGAGAAGTCCCTGCGGTAGTGGAAGAAGCGTCCTGAGCAATCCTATTCGCAACTCTGAAAAGAGTTTTCTCCAGTGACACAGCGCCCAGTGGCCCTTATGGAGACGACCAAGACTATAGTTTGGCTTGGAAGGGGTTGAACCAGCTTCCACCTGCTAGCCTGGAATCCTAAGCACAACTTAGGACATTGCTTCCATTGGAAAAATCACGTCTCAGTCAAGTCAATGGGAAACCAACTTGAGGTCTCTACAACTGATCCGTTAACGAACTTTCGGAATACAACCCATTCATACCTGGGGATTCAATCTTTAACCTCCAAGTTCATAGCAATATAAATTTTTAAGACTGAAAACACTATTATTATCGTGTTTAATATACAATAGGAAAAGATATATTCTCAAAACAAAAAAAAAAATCACAGCTTCCTGGATTCATGGTTTTTCTCTCTTACTATTTTCCCTTTATTTTTTAAAGTACGATTTCATTCAACTCCAGAGAAATTCCATTTTTACCATGTTATTGTAAACGTCCTACTATTTTACCTGTATATTTTATTGTTGAGCCAGTGTTTACCTTACCTCCTCGATGGATAATCAAAGAAGTCTCGCTTCCAATGGGACAGTCCTTAAGTATATCCACTACTTCTGTATGGCTCAGATTCTGTACATTCTGCTGGTTGATCTCGACAATGAGGTCGCCTTCACACAGGCCAGGGCATCCCTGAATGTCAAGTATTTGTTTCACCCGCTGTCCTGTAGGACTATCGGCAAGGGTAAAGCCGAAGCCCTGGGCACCTTTCACAATGGTTAAGGTCATGAGTTCAGCTTGGGTGGCCCCAGACGAAGCCATAGACACATTGTCGTCATGGACGGGTGGTGCATAAGTGCCATCTAGCTGACCATCAGCTGGCATTGAGTGCAAAGAATGAGGCGGCCGATCTGTTATATCTGGAACCGACTGTGAGGTCCGAGAAATGTACTCCAAATAGGTTTCATAGTTATGTCTTCCATTGACCATCACGGGAGGTGGCCTCTCCATTATTGCAAGGGGTGGCACCATGCTGTTAGCGGGATCTTCAGGATCAAAGGGCAAAGGGTAGCCGCGACACAAAACCAGGTTGACACTCTGACCAATAGGAACAGACTGGAAAAGTTTGACTACGTCTGCATGAGTGTGTCCAAGGACACACACTTCATTAATATAGACAATGACATCGCCTGCAAGAGAAAAAGAAAGAGATTGACAACATGAGGTAAGTTCAGTTAATGTTGACAGAGAGAAATGGAATTATTTATGAGACTAGTGAAAGAGGTGCACTGTTTCTCAGTGAGCAGTGAGAAAATCAATTAGAGTAATATTTAAATTCACTGGAGGTGACTCAAGGTTACAACAGGTCTGCCAACAAATATAATGATCAAATGCTGAAAAAAATGCTATTTGGTTATTCTCGAAGTTCAGAAACAACTTCATACTCAGAGAGAAAGACTCAGAAAGCAAAGGTTAGGAGAAGTACCTCGAAGAAGCATATGTTCTGTTTCTTTTTCATCTTCATTCCCATCTTCAGTGCAAAACAGTTAGTAGAACTTTCAAACTACTGAGAAGCAATGTTGTAAGTTTTGGATGAGACAGAAAGCCCTGGTATATGATGTTTTTTCGTTTTTGTGGTATCAGTTGTCTGAGTCAACTGCCATTTTTCTTTTTTATGAAAGAGGAAAATATTTTGCCCATTTTTTTCTTTATCTATAGGAAAGTGTAATTGCAAAGGTTCCATGTGTACACACATACAGGTTAAGAGCACAGGATTTGGGATCGGGGATCAGGGTCCATACCCTGGCTCTTCTTCTTAGCAGATATGTGATCCTAGCAGGGGACCGACCTGCTTTGAACCACAGTTCCTCTGTTGCGAGAAGGAAATGAGATAATTCAGGGAAGGTGCTTGGAACAGTGCCTGACTCATGGCGAGTGCTCAACAAATGTGGACCATTATTAACACTATTGATGCTAAAATAGGATGGAAGGGATCTGGAACCCTTACTTTCAAACAGTAAGCTGCCACAGACTCATCCTCTGATCTCAAATAAATTGATATTTCTGTAGATCTTTTGGAAAAAGGCATTTTTCCTCTCTCCCCAATGAATTATCATAGAGTTACAGAAGTCCACTGATTAGGAGTGAATCTGATGATATTAAAAATGCCCTGATTGTAAATTATTCCTCATAAAGTATATTGATAAAAACAGTATTTCCTCCTCAAGATACAGGAAAAGATGTTCATTTGAGACAAATATTTTAAAAGACTTCAATTATATCTGAATAACAATTTTATTTTTGGATAATTGTTCTATCACGGATTGATATTTTTATCCTCAAAACCATACTATTTGAGAATTGAACTTGCAAACTGAGATTGTGCCTGACTATGCTGAGGAGTGTATGAGGGATGAAAAGACATGTCTTCACAAATTGTCAGATGAGTAACTCAACAGATATCAATTTATCAGGATAATTCTGAAATTGGTAGTGTAAATGGCTAGGGATTTCATTCAAGACATCCCTGCCCATCAAGATTGCAAACATCAAAAATGAAAAACAGAGTGGGACTTTCAGAGTTTAGTACGTTTCCAGCTTTTCTTAGGAGTCTGATATAAAATGATTTCTCCATTAAATGCACTTAAAAATAAATAATTCTATGAATAAAACACTCAACACGAATAAAATGCCTTCAACAACATAGACTTGGTTAATACTCACTCTTCCTGAATTCAAGAGAACTTCTTGAAAGTGTTAAAGACATAGCGAAAGGAACACTTTCTGGGATTCAGGTTAGGTTAGAGTCTAGAAAATGTCAAAGACCACGTGATGGGTCAGATGGAACTTCACTCTTCAATTACGTCTAAGAGAGAGGGTGCTGGTGTCACGGCTGGGACAGTGGACCAGGGCTCAGGACTAAATTCAGATGGGCATCCCCTCCATGCTACTAGGATTCCTCATTAGACTGGGGCAGCTGGGGATGCTTTGGCATCATTTTCATCTGGTTCTGGTCACCCCAGAGAAGTCTCTGATCCAGACAAACTTTTTTCTTCTCTTGCCTCTTCTATTTTCAAAGTGATCATCATGTATTTTACACATTAAAAAGTTGAAAGGGGGGCTGGCCTAGTGGTGGAGTGGTTAGGTTTGCACACTTTGCTTTGGTGGCCCAGGGTTCACAGGTTTGGATCCCGGGCATTGACCTACACACCACTCATCAAGCCATGTGGTGGCAACCCATATACAAAGTAGAGGAGAATTGGTACAGATGTTAGCTCTGGGACTATCTTCCTTCTAGCAAAAAGAGAGACTGGCAACCGATGTTAGCTCAGGGCCAATCTCCCTCACACACACACACACATACACACACACACAAATTGAACGAATAATAAATACCCGTGTACCACCTTCCAGCTTAACGTTTACAACATCGCCCACAATACTTGAAAACCCCTGGGTACCACCCCTCTCCCACTTGCATTCTGTTACTGCCCTTTCCAAAGGTAATCGTTGTCCTCCATTTGAGGTTTGTTATTCACATGTACTTAATATTTTTATGAAATATCCAGGTACCCGTAAACAATAATATCCCTAAAAGGATGTTTTTGCATATTTTAAACCTTTTGTAAATGGTATCATGTTAATCTTCTGTAATTTCCCTCAAAATGCATTTGTGGTATTTATTTGACACCTGTACCTCTAATTCATTAATTTTCATTGCAATATAGTATCTATTAGATGATGACATCACTATTTATTAATATTTATTCATTCTTCTGTTAATAGACACTGGGGTTCTTTTGAATTTTTGGCTATTGAAGATAACTCCGCAAAACAAAGAAAACTAAGACACACACACACATAAAGCCAATGGAGAAAACTCTTAAAATGGCTGCATTTTATTGAACACAAACTACACTTCAGTAAAGTTGATTTTAAAAGTAAAAAAGGAAAAAAGAAGATAACTCTGCTATGAACCTCTTTTCATGGCCCGCGGGCACCTATGGAAGAGTTTTTCTGAGGTATCTTGGTATAGAATTGCTAGGCACAGGCCACGTGTACCTTCAACTTTGTTAGATAATGGCAAATGGCTGACGAAATAGGTCAAATCAGTTTACGCTCCCATCAGTAGTTTATCAGAATTTTCATTGCTCCCCATCTGACACAACACTCGGCATTCTCAGACTTTTAATTTTTGCTAATCTAATGGGTGTGATCATGGTTTCAATTTGCATTTCCCAGATTGCTAGTGAGGGTGAGCATCTTTTCATATGTTTATTGGCCATTTGGGTTTCCTCTTCAGTACATCTCATTTCTCCATTTTTCGCTATTTGGTTAGTCTTTTTAAAAAAAAATTTTAACACACTGACTATTTTTCTGCCCACCTCCATTTTCTCGATCCAATGTTCTCTGTAGGTTTGGGAGGCTGCACGGTACATAGACAATACACGGGTTGGGGAGTCCAAAGACGCTGCTCTGATTTCCAGCGCCATCACTTCCTAGCTGTGTGACTTTCAAAACTCACTTAAATCCTTTGTGACTCAGATTCTTCAGAAGTAATGAGGAACAGTAATAACAGTAACTTACTGATCCATGGGAAATAACAAATGAGATCACACAGGTGAAAGGGTTTGTAAGCTGTAAATTGTTATGCAAAAAAAAAAAAAAAAGATTGCTATTTCAGTAATTATTATCTGTCCTTAGTTATATTCTAAAACCAGGACCATTCTGCTAAGAGAGTCCCACCATAGTCATAATCAAGGATGAGTACCGGTTTCTAAGTGGGCAAGTAATAGGCACGAACTTACCAAATGCCACTTTCTTCTAAGGCTCTCCCTAACTTTAATCACTGTTAACAAACCTCCAGCCCCCAAGCATGCGATATTCTTCCCTCTGCTCTGCCAGAAATTCATAAGAGAAGAGAACTAAGGCTTATATTCAAAGCTCTCAAGGTCCCCTGCCAGGTCTAAAGGGTAGTTATTTGAATTATAGTGATTAACGCTATCTATTTTTGAGTTTTAATGTGATCTTGCCATTAGAAACAAAATGAGAACTATTTGTGGTTCTCAGTAAGACTGCTTTTTAAAATTTATGGATATTTTCCACGCAGAGCAGTTTTTCAAGTCATCAAACAAGCGAGTGATAAAGGATCCTGCAACAATATCTTTATGGAGCTACACAGAAGATTTCTGAATGCAAAAGATGAGTAGTCAGTTATCACAGGATAAACTTATCTAATAACTTGACAGTACTCAATTGCCCACTTTAAAAAAATATAGAGATGCCTAGACATCGTGTCATGCTGAAATTGTTGTAGATGGACAAACATTTGCTTGTTCAGATAGAACTGATTGGGTAGGATATTTATAGACTGCGCCGTATGAATGTCATTTACATGTTGTGAAATGAAAATACGAGCCACCTGGTATATGCTATGCGATGGTGCCACGCCAAGTCCTGGGACAGACTGGGCTTGCGAGCACAGAGAAGGACATCATTAGGAAAATTGGCTCTAGCTCCAACCCCATTGGCCTACTTAAGAGGGAGAATTGGAAAAGAGTCACTTGATCTCTCCATCTCTCCATTTTTTCTTTTATAAAATGAGAATTAAAATATCTCCATTTCCTCTTTCACAGGGCTACTGCGAGAATGAGATCATGTGTGTGAAAACACTTTTAATTTTACCAAAGAAAGATTCTCCATAAAAATAAGATGATGCATTTCTTTTGAAAGCTAAGCACACGTTTTCATTGCCATATTACCTGCAAGGTTACCTTGTTTCCTATGTGGCCATTCACTTCAGGCCATCTTGAGGCCAGATGGTTTTAGGGCTACTGATCCTAGGCCTGTTGGTCAAATTTGGTGTGACTGAGCTTGGGGTCCCCATAGGGACTGGTCTCATAGTGACCTGATTCCCAGTTATGGGATTTCAAAGTGCAAGTGAAGGAGAGCGAGGCTGATGAAGCAAGAGATTTAAAATTGCTAGCTTGAATGAGAAAATATTCTAAGATCATTGGTTTCTTTCTTAGTCATGGAAATCAAAACGCAATCTTGGATACCTTTTGGGTACTTCATCATTTTGGCTAAAATAGGGCATTCTCTGTAAAGCACTGTCTAAAGTGGAGTTATTCTTATACCTCTTTCCTCAGCACCCACATTCTTTGAGTCACTGTGGCCTGCAGAAGCTTCC